AGAAGAAGAAGAAGAAGAAGAAGAAGAAGAAGAAGAAGAAGAAGAAGAAGAAGAAGAAGAAGAAGAAGCGACTGTAAGGAGTTCAACTGTGTTAGTGAGGACCAAGTGAAGATCACAGTCAATTGTTTAGAAACAAAATACTTAACATACCTTTATGTTTCGAAGTGGGGATTCTAGCTGTTCTCCTCATTTTCTCCTTCATCATCCTCTAGCTTCTCCAAGATTTCTTCTAACATGGCTGTCTTCTGTTTCTTGACAGGGGGATCTGGGTAAGATGGAGTGACACTGTTGAGTGGAAGAGTAACCATTTTTCTGTCCCCTTAGTCAATTAACCCCAAAACTGTTATATTGGAGACATGCCCTAGGCAGATAGTATTAACCAGACTTAGAGAATAATAGAGCTGGAAAGGAGGGACCTTGGAGGTCTTCTAGTCCAGCCCCCTACTCAAGCAGGAGACCCTATGCCATGCTGATTGTCTCTTCTTGAAAACCTCCAGTGATGGAGCTCCTAACAACTTCCGGAGGGAAGCCGTTCCACTGATTCATTGTTCTCCCTGTCTCTTCAATGATCCTCCACCCATTACTTCTTGTCCTGCCTTCAGCTGCTTTGGAGAACAAGCCAACTCCCTCTTCCCTTATCACGTCCTTCTCTTTGATAAGCAAGATTGCTTCGTTTTAAGGCTAGATTTCTAACTTCGTTACACTCGATTTGAAGCGTCAACAAGACATGTGATGTCTACAAGAACAAAATGCACCAACTTTAGACTCCAAGAAGGTTTATCAGCAATGCAGAAGGGCCACAGTTAAGAAGACCCAAGAACCATGCCATGCCATGCCACCTGTTCTGTTCTGTTCTGTTCCGTTCCATTCCATTCCATCCTATCCCTATCCCCTATTCTATTCTATTCTATTCTATTCTATTCTATTCTATTCTATTCTATTCTATTCTATTCTATTCTATTCTACGTCCCTTCTCCTTCTATTCTATTCTCCTTCCTTCTTCCCTTTCATTCTCCTTCCCCCCCTCCTCATTCTATTCTATTCTATTCTATTCTACTTCCCTTCTCCTTCTATTCTATTCTTTCCTTCTTCCCTTTCATTTTCCTTCCCCCTCCCCATTCTATTCTATTCTATTCTTCCTTTCTCCTTCTCTTCTCTTTTCCTTCTCCTCCTATCCTACCCTCTCTTCCCTGCCACAATTCACTTAAAATCGGTGACAAGGAAGATCGTAAAATGGGGGCAAAACTCACTTAACGATTGTCTCACTTAGCCACAGAACTTTTGGACTGAACTATGGTCGTAAGTCAAGGATGATCTGTATAGCCCTCTGTAACTGCCCAATTTTATTTTATTTTAAAAGTCACAAGCGAATTGTGGGAGACTGTTGAACTTGTCCTTCCCCTGATTATAATCTTCTTTTTCTGCCTTTTCCCTCGTTTCAGAAGGCAAATCTCTCTCTCCCCCACCTCTCTCTTTCCATGTGGAGAACAGCTGTTCAAATCCCAATCTTCCCCATCAAAACACCCGTCTCCCGACAAACAAATAAATGTACTTTTTTCTTTCTTTCTTTCAGGACTCGGGGGAAAAAGGATGTAAAAATAAACAGACAGAACAAGCTGCTGCATTTTCTCCCAGCATTACAGCTGCTTCCCAAGATAAACAGCAAGTAAATGTCAGAAAAACATCAATATAAGGGAAATTAACCTGACAAGAGGCAACACCCATCCTTCCCCAAATCCTTTCCCTTTTTCCATTCCCAACCAAACAGTTCTGCATTTTGGGAGTCCAAACACCAATGATTTTATTTTTTCAATTAATTCCTTGACAGGAAGCCAGGATGGTGGTACTTCTGCTTCTGAGTTTTTAACAATTGTCGAGGGAGGCAGAAGGGGGGAAAAAAATTATAAGGGAGAGTTTGGGGAAGGCTGGGAAGAGCCTGGAACACTCTTAATCTTTCTCCGAGTTTCATCCATTGAGATAAAGAATCAGAACTTTAGAGAGAAAGCAAGCCATATTTTTGGAGGTCTGCAACCCTCCAAAAATATGGCTTGCTTTCGTTGTATCTTTTATTTAGTATTGAAAGAATAATCTCTAGCTTTCTCTTATTTATTGGCACGAATTGTTGTTACAAACTACCTATCTATCCAACACAATTTCCTTCTTCTATTTTCCTCCTATGTGAGGTGAGGTGGTCTGAGAGATCACCTAGTTGGTTTCCATGGCTAAGGTGGGACTAGAACTCACCATCTCCTGGTGAATGGCCCAAAGTCACCCAGATGATTTTCATACTTAAGGCAGGACTAGAACTTCCAGTCTCTTGATTGGCACAAAGTCATCCAGCTGGCTTTCATGCTTAATGCGGGACTAGAACTCACGGTCTCCTGGTATTTGGCCCAAAGCAGGGGTGGGATTCAAATTTTTTAACAACCAATTCTGTGGGCGTGGCTTAGTTGGGGGACATGGCTTGGTGGTCATGTTATTGGCTGGGCGTGGCCAACTCAATATCACTCACATCGAGGCACGCATCTCCTCGCCTGGCCTCTCATGACTGTGGGGAAGCTGCAACAGTTGTAAGTGTAAAAAACAGTCATAAGTCACTTTTTTCAGTGCCATTGTAACTTTGAATGGTCCCTCCACACAAGCACAGTACCAGCAAAGGAGGGGGAAAAAACTCCAGAGAGGTTCCTGAGACAGGAAGTCTAGTCCTGCCAAGAATGTAATAAGGGTTAACGGAGAGGCAGTTTCTGTAAGCAACACCAGAATGTTTCCTTCCTGCCTTCCTTACAGGATTAGCCCAGTAATTTCTTCTAACAACCGGTTCTTCGAACTGCGTGGAATGTTAACAGCCGGTTCTAGCGAATAGGGGCGAACTGGTAGAATCCCACCCCTGGCCCAAAGTTACCCAGCTGGCTTTCATGCCTAATGTGGGACCAGAACTCACCATCTCCTGGTGATTCGGGCCAAAGTCACTCAACTGGCTTTCGTGCCAACAGTGGGAGTAGAAGTCACCATCTCCTGGTGATTGGGCCAAAGTCACCCAGCCAGCTTTCATGGCTAAGGCAGGACTAGGACTCACCATCTCCTGGTGATTGGGCCAATGTCACCAAACCGATTTTCATGGCACTTGAACTTGAACGTGGAACTTGTCCTGACTTCTGGTGCTTTGGATAATAATAACTGTTTCCTGGTATGATTTGATTGCTTATTGTACCCTATGACTATTATTAAGTGTTGTACCTGATGATTCTTGACTCTTGACAAATGTAGCTTTTCCTTTATATACACTGAGAGCATTTGCACCAAGACAAATTCCTTGTGTGTCCAATCACACCTGGCCAATAAAGAATTCTATTCTATTCTATTCTATTCTATTCTATTCTATTCTATTCTATTCTACTCTACTCTACTCTACTCTACTCTTATTCTATTCCATTCCATTCCATCCCACCCCACCCCACCCCACTCGACCCCCTCTTCTTTGTGGCTGATCCATCTCACATCTTCAAAGGCTGGGGGAAATCCCTGGTTATGGATCTCTGCCGAATCTGACCAGCTCACACGGCCACCCCCCCCCAACCCTTCTGCAAAACTTTTAGCTTAGGTCAACAAAAGGAGTTTTGCACAGATCCCGGGAGGTGGGGTAGGATTGGGGGGGTGGGGGGAGAGAAAGTCTTGATTGCTTTCCTAGTAGCTTTTTTTTTTTTTTTTCTGTTGCACTTTTCTCTAAACCTTGCTTCATTTCTTTTTTTCTTAGCAATTACTGGAGCCAGAAAGAGCAAGAGAAGGGTAAGGATAGAAGAAAGGGGGTGAAAAAGCTGACACATCTGTATGGTCGCAGAAGTGAAGGCTTCAAGAATCCAATAATGTACCGCTAAGCAAAATAAACACAAGGCAGGGGTTGGGTGGATGCAGTTCCCCTAATGTGCCAGCCAGCACTGGCTGGATTCGGAGGTCAGAAAAAGCACCAGCAGAGTTCTGCTGATTTCACTTAGGGGTACTCTTAAAATTATTGTATTTTATTCCAATGTCATTGAAAATTGTATTTTATTCCAATGTCGTTGAAAATTGTATTTTATT